CCCCAAAACCCCAAAACCCCAAAACCCCAAAACCCCAAAACCCCTCAAACTCATATAAATTAGGTTCATAGCATAATTCAAACTTAAAATTAAAAATATATATAGTAAAATAATAATCAGATGAATAAAAAAGGAGAGGCATAAAATTCAAAAAAGTAGAAGGAAAAATTGGAAGACTTCATAGAATATGGAAATGATGAAGAAAATAAAGACCAGTAAATGGAATAGGAAACTGTAGAGGAAGATCCTGCTTACACTGAAGGATATGAAAACGAATATGATTAAGTTAATGAAGAAATCAAAACAAAATAGGCAGCCCCAAAAATATACTCTTCAACCCCAAATCATAAAAAGGCGAAGACTAGCATGTCTCCATTTAAGCATCTCTAAAGCATGACAAAAAGAGGCTAAAAGTTTAAGAATAATAAATCTTCAGATTCAGAAGTGAAAACAGACCATATATTCTAATCATATGGAACTGAAACTGGGCGAACAATGTAAACTTAAACTAATGAAGGAAAAGAGTACGAGCTTCAAGCTCCTAGGATGATTAATAAGATTCTGCCCATTTTTTTCACGATTTTAAAATTAGTTGCGACTGCTATCTCAATGAGTAGTATGATTATGAATATTGTATACTCGAGGAAGGTGATATTTTTCTCCTCTAAATCATATATGATGTACATGTTGATTATACTGTTAAGACCAACAATAATCTTTAGATATGTATGCGATGTATTTGTCAATTACTGTAGTTTGTGCAAATGCGAGGATCTAAAGTCAGATAAAGATTCAGCTAACAGAAAGGAGAGACTACTTAAGATCTTGCATTTATTTGGAAGCATGTTTTTGTTCCAAATGGGGACTTTCAGGATATGTCATGAGCAGTATTAAAGATTTCTGATACTTGAGGGATTAATTGTTGAAGCCTTTTAAGTAGCTATCCTCCTCATAATTTAGCATGTCAATAATGAGAGTATGAACTTTGAAATGTTAAATTTAATTCAGAAAACATGTATTGCCTTGGCTTTTGCTAATCTATTATCAATTATTATCTAACTGAGGTCAATAATTGCAATCATTATCGACATTGTCAAAAAAAGAAAATAAAACAAGGAGTATTTGAGATTGGACACTAAAGAAAAGATCGATAAATTTTTTAGAAAGGATATGATCAATGTCATGGTTTCTCTGCTAATATTCATAATAGTATTAACAGCAGTCATGAAAAAACTTCCGGACAGGAAATGCTTGCCAGGCATGGGATTCAATTAAGCAGTCTGTGAATCCTGTATTGATAAAAAATGTCTTTAATGCGATGAAGACTTTGCCACTTGTAGTTTTTGTGAAAGAGGGTATTTTATTACTCCACCTTCAAGATCCTTTTAAAAACAAGGAGGAAAGAACTAATGCACTCAATGCCTAGATCCAGGTTGCTATAGCTGTGATAGCGAAGGGGAATGCTAGATCTGTTAAAAAGGTTACCGCTATTTGAGAGGGTAATGTATTTCTTGTGGAATGCAATAAAACTGTGCATTTTGCAATGATGAAAAGTGTTTGACTTGCAAAGATGGCTTTTTCTTGGATAGAGCAACTGGTGCTTGTTTAACATGCAATACAACATTACCTTACTGTAATAAATGCACAGACTCAAATACATGTGATGACTGTGCCCCTGTCATTACAGCAAAGAGGAATGGTAAATGTACTTGTAATTCAGTTTATAATTGGTATTAAGCTGGTACTAGCGAATGTTTATGCCAAGGTTATGTAATGAGTCAAACAGATTATTGTTCAACATGCGAACAGCTCATACCAGGGTGCTAAAAGTGTATTGATACAAATGTGTCTGGCACTGATAGTATACTAGTTGGTCAAACAAGTATAGCTCCATTATAAAAAATGTATGTTAAATGCGAGAAATGTTAGATCTCACACTATTTCGATACTAATTCTAAACGGTGTGAGCAATGTGCTCATATTACTGATAATTGTGAAAGTTGCGATGAAAAGGGTCAATAATGCACTAAATGCTTAAGTGGATACTACATTAATTGGAGTGATTAAGATTAGGAGAACATTTGCTACCCATGTTCGTATTCGATTGATAATTGTGTATAATGTGATGGAAAAAATATGTGCTCTAAATGTAAAAGTGGATTTGAGATTACTAAAGATTATAAGTGTCAAGTAATTGATTAACTATGATAATTTTATAATAGATAATCTTTAAAAATAGTTTTTTTCAACCAATTTTGAAATATTTAATAAGATTGGGGTTTTGGGGTTTTGGGGTTTTGGGG